CATAAATCAATCTTAGTCACTAATACTAATTTAAGTGGATAACAATATATTAAGAAAACTTATTTTTTTTTAATAAATAAAATTCTATAGTTATTTTAAATAAATGTAGTAAATATTAACTAGATATGAAATATCAAATTAAGTTTTTTAATAACTAATTAAAATTATTCAAATACTTACTACCTACTTTTATATAATGTGTATTAGGCAAAATAAAAACATTAACGTTCTTTATAACCTGCTAATAATGTATTACGAGTACACATTAGCTTTGTTTTTGAAAATTCGAGGATGATAGATTGATAAATACAAATAATTAATGATAGTGTTAATAATTCTAAAACAATAATTTTACTTAAACATGTAAATATAATGTTTATCAAGGCTGGATTAAACGAGGATATTTTAGAAATCTAGGTTTTGAAATATTGAAGATAAAAGGATTAGAATTAAAGAAAAAATAATTTTATTAAGGCAGGATAAATTAAAAGTAAAAAAATTACAGTTATAATGGACAAATTATATAGATGACTGCTAAAATGAGTCGAGCAGTTCAAATCTATAGATAAAAAGTTTAGTTTTCTTACTTATTTTAAGTTTATTACAACAGCCTTAATTGTAAGTTTCTCCTGATAAATTATATATTTATTAGAATAAGTTGATGATCTGAACGAAAAAAGAAAAATTAAAATGCTACCAGCACTAAAACTATTATATTACATGATAAATGCACGCAAATTATTGTTAGAATATAAGAAATTATAATACATTGTTTCGTTTTAGGGATGAAGAAAATGACAATTCAAACGGTTGGATTTAAAATATATATATAAAATAGTTGAATCGACATACGAGTATAGTAAGAAAAAAGTTATTTATTTATTTCTCGAGAAACAATAATAATTTATTAATACACATGTATTTAAATGCGTGAGCTGTACTAAACTCATTTATGGTGGAATCATATAAGATACATAACAAGTACCTATATAACATTATACTTTTAACTGCAAGTATACCTATTTAACTTGATTATTATTTTAACTTTAATAGATAAATCAAATTATTAGACATAAATATTCTGAATTTCAAGTTAAAGCATATAATAATTTAATCAACCAAGTAAAATCGGTTAAAAATGTAAATACAAAAAAAATATTAAACATTACATACCTGCAATACGGAAAATCTTCTTCGTTGTTTTAGATTAGTTTTTTTATTATTACATTGGAGGTTATCCATTCGTCAGCTGGGGAATGACAAAATACAGACAAAACGTGTGATATATATTTATATACAGGCCAAAAATATTATTTACATACTTTTTTTATAAACGCCAACATAATATATTAGTATGACGTTTTAAAATATTTCTGCTCTTTCGTTATTTATCACATAATAATTCATTATTTAATAAAAGCTCAAAAACAATTTAAAATTATAATAACAATTATATCTTGCCCACCGATATATTAAAATATTGCAGACAGTTGTAACGGTAGGTTTATATTGCGTATACATTGATTAAAATTATATTTAGTATTGTGACTATTAACCTCTATGTCTGAAAATTAAGTGACCTTTATATACATTTACAAAAAAAATTTATTACACAACTGTTAATTATAGTATTATCATATATATAAACACAAAAATCGTATTAAAAATATTTTGTTTCAATTATAGGACAAGTGGCGCCGTTTCTTAAAAGAAAAAATAATCATAAATATAATTATAAATTGATACTGCTTCAATGGTAATTTTTTTTCAATCATATACATTTTTATTATCCATAAAGACCTAATATTATTATATATATACTTTTTTAGTCATCATCATAATATTACTATGACGTTTTTAAAATCTTTATTTACACACATTTTGTTATTAAAAATTTACTTTACTATGTAGGTACTTAAAATTCAAATATTTTTTAAAACCGACGCATTTTGCACTTATGCCCAGTATTTGTAAGTAGGTTTATAGTTACAAGCAATCAATACCCGAGTTATCGTGTGATTTAAGCTTTTGTGTGTTAGCTTGGATTTGTTTAAACGTATGACATTAGGTCGTATACTTATATATGTATTACTATAACTTACATTGAATATTATATATAAAAATATATTTATTAAAAAAAAAAAGTTATGTAACACAATTACTTAAGACGACATTTTACATTGTATAAGTATTAAGTAATGAAATTTCATAGGCATATCAGAGTTTTGAAAATTATAGGTATAATAGTACACTATTAATAATATATTAATTTAATGTAATATATAAATAGTGAAATTAATTTCCAAAAAAGGTCAGTTGAAAATAATAAAATTATATACAATATACGGCAATTAATCATCGTTCCATTTTTGTACATAAAATACGTTATTGACGCCATTTAACTGTTGAAAGCTATTACTAAATGTCTACATAGCTATATGCCTATATATATTTAAGCTATAGCCTCAGGTACACTCATTACTCAACTATAAATAATTATTTAATTTTTAAGTTTATATGTTGTAATAAAAGTTTAATAAAATTATTTCATTTAATCACGAACTTCTTTGAGTAAACGAATTCGAATTTAAAGTGTATAATGTTTTTTTTTTGTAACTACAAAAGACATAAAATTTGTCCTTTAGTCGTGTCTCTAAGTGTTGTACACAGTACTTAACTACTATATATTTATTAATATGATTGCAATTAATTGAATGATGTTACTTGTTGTAAACAAAAATATAATATATTATAAACATGTTGCGTGATGATAAACAACTTGTTTTTAAACAAAAATCACAAAAATGCATATAATATAACTAATCACAAATTATATTTTTCATCGGTATACAAATATGCAATATAATTGCGTGGACCCATTAAAAGCAATTAGGTTTGATTTCAGATTTAAGAAATATATTTACCCTAATATAGTAACATTATTTTACACAGGTACTTACGTATTTCAAGTCGAACGATTAACAGAATTCGAGTTTAGTCGTCGAAAACAATATTATATAATATAATGTATATTATGGAAAACAATAATTGTACAAACGTGATAACAGTTTGCAGTAACATAATATGTTTATTTCATTTGTCTTTTACAAAAGTCAATAATATATAATAAGGGTTATAATAAATTAATCGAATAACTATATAATATGCAGCCTAAAACATATAATTTAACATTATGCAAATACCATCCCAAATTTTTTGTGTTTTTAATTCCATAAAAAATAACCAAAGGTACATAATAATATAATCGATATTTTGTTCCGATACATATTCCGCGTAATTTAAATAGACAACTTAATTTTTTTTCCTTAACTATTGCAGAGTCTTCTGAAATAACATAAAAATAAACGAGTCATTTTAACAAACAATAATAATAATACTCGAAATCGAATTATATAATAATAAAATAATATGTATCTACATCGCAGGGAGGGGGGATAAAATTAACATAAAAAACATAATAATAATAATAGTAATGTTAACAACACTTTCTATAATAGAAAATAATAATATAAAGGAGGACTGTATGCACAACACTGCAAAGGAGAGCCAAACCGCAATGTGTGCATAAAATTATAACAATAATAATAATAATAATAATAAAAAAAAAATAGTCACTATTAAAATATAACATATAGTTATGATTTTTATTGGTTTTATAGGCGACCGCGATTACCCAGTTGTCGGTATCCGGTTACCGATTACAGCACATATACAGCATGATATTATTACTATAATAATTATATATGATAATACATATATAGTTCGTGTGCACATCGATCGTCTTCGGACGTTCGTGTGACCCTGTAGTACACGCTTCTGACGTCGATGTACGGTTATCACCTGTGCTGTCATCGCCGGATACTACGACATCAAGATGTATCTCGAACAGAGGGTTAAATAATAATTTTATGAGATAATCAGGGTCAAATGGCGAAAAAAATGTCGTTTTAAGTGTGTGCAATAATAATTAATACATCACATTGCGTGAGAAGATAAAACCGTAATAGAGGCAAACATCGATATAATATTATGGCACAGTCACATTTTGAATCTTTTGATATGATATTATCTATAACATAATGGTAAGTCTTGTGTGAGTGTGTATGTGACGAGTGTTGTAAGAAATAATACAAATCATTACGAATTTACGTTCTACGTGTATGTGGATGACTAAGGGGTCGGCGGAGACAAAACGGGAAATAAAACGATTTTCCACAGATTTTCGTGATTCAAATTTCCGCTGTCCCATAATATATAGTATTATTACGCAAAACGTGTTACATAATATTATATATTATTATATCGTGATGGAATAACGCGGCAATGTTAATAATATGTACCTTACGGGAAGTGTTCTCTACTCAAAATTTAAATTTACTTTTTTATACAGAACATAGATTGTTTTTTTTTTTTAGTTTAAATAATATATAGCTAATAATTACTATAGGTTAATTATAATTTTATTTTCTCACGACTTGGCGAAACTATAAAGGAATATAATGGCTTGTCGTTATTTTTTTAAAAATATTTTCGTATAAAGATCAAATATGATATTATAATAATACATCATGGTTTGACATGATACTAATGTGTAATATATTATATTACTCGATCACAGTGACAGAAAACTCGGTTTTGGAATATTACATAATTAGGTAGTAGGTATATAAATCAATTATATTATTGGTCCGGTTGGTACATAGTTGAGCCAAAATCCGTTTTTAAAAATAAAATAAAAAAAACAGTTTATGGCCGTACAAAAATACATGATAATAATAATAATAATGATTAATATTATAATTAATTAATCGCGGTCTCGCAAAATCCCGTACGCGATTGTTACGATAAGTTGTTAACGGAGGAAGCTCTAACGCAGTATTATCTCATTCATCAACATAATAATATTATTATATTATATGACCAGACCTAATAATAATATTTTTGTATAATATATAATGTATTCAGGAAGACTACGCATGTACAAAATATAATAATATCAATAGTAATAATAATAATAATAATAATAATAATAATAATAATATAATAATGATACAAACAAATCGGACAACTAACATTAGTAGGATTAAAACACTGCTGTAGGCTCTGTCTTATCGTCTAAAACAAAATAATATAACGTACAGCATTCAAAAAAAAAATTGTATCATTGCTCCCTCTTACCAGCAATACAGATACGATATATTATTATATCATAAAGTACAAACGGAATTGGAAAACAAAACTAAACAATAAAATAATAATCAATAAAAACAAAATGTAAATAAAACTACAGGCGCCGGACTTTTTTAAACACGGCTTAGCTCGCCATTTATGTTTTATATAATATAATAATATATAATATATATGTAAGAAAAAAAAATATGTTATCGATATAATTTTATACAGTAATATATAATTTATTTATAATATAATAATAATAATAATAATGGTGCATTTTACAACATTAACCGTTAATTAATAAGGCACAACGACTTAAACACTATATAATGTAAATCATACGATTATAAAACGTCGAAACGAGACAAGACGTCCGTCTCCGTGACTTTTAAGACGATCTGCTCCCTTTCGCGTTCGCGGCAGAAGAACGCGCATGTCGTTACGTGTAATTATAAACAACACTATAATATATCGTATTATAATGTACACGGACTACACACGCCGGCGATCATGGACTCGCAGCCGATCTGACGCGAAAGAACGGAAAATCCTGTCTGGCACCACGTCGTTATCTCGCATTAACAATATTATATAGATCTCCCGAGTCCTGCGATTCCTTCGGCGCGCACACGACGACAACGACGCTCGCGCCGTCTGCAGTGTCCGCGCGTGGGAGGAGACCGCGGTCGCGCGGCGGTGGTTTTTTTTTTTTTTTTTTTGTTCGACATAATTATACCAACAATTGTTTTAAACAGTTACTGTTGAGTTAAACGGTTATCGTTTTTTACACGCCCGGTGTTGTTGTAAAACGCGACACGAGAAGACGAATAATGTACAATTCGGGAATTTCGTTTTCGACGTTATAATTGACTCTCGTTGCGTGTCCGAGAAATAATAATAATAATAATAATAAAAAAAAACTGCATCCTACGACTCGCATTTTAAGCCACAAATTTTGTTGTTGCACAATAACGTGGTGATGATAATAATACACATCGAATAACCGTTATACCGTGTATTACCATCGTCATCGTATCACAGATATATAGTGAGTTAAAAATATTAATTTGATAAATATTATTTTTGTATTTTTTGTATCTGTCGGGAAACGGGTTGGTGGGTGTGGGGGGAAAGGGTTGTTTGAGAGACGCACCCGCCGTTGTTGGTGCGCACAAACGGAACATACCTTTTATAATTCTATAATTTTTTTATTTTTTCTTTAGAACGACGTTGAAAACGATATTTTATGACACGGCGGCGGCGACGGTAGCGGCGATGAGAATTACTGCTCATCGCATCACCACTGGTTGTAAGTGTTGTAATCCGCACCGTAGTACTGGCCCGAACCACCGTAATTGTGATGATGACTGGGCCTGGCTATGTGCTCGGTAGAACAACACGAGTGAAACCGGTTGTTGTAACCGCCGGCGTACGACTGTTCCCGGTTACCGTTGTTGTTGTTGTTGTTGTTGTTGTTGTTGCTGCTGCTGCTGCTGTTGCTACTACCTCCACCACCGCCGTTGTTGTTGCCGTTATTGCCGTTGTAGTACTGGCTCGGTGGCAGCGGTGGTGGCTGTTGTTGCTGGTAGTGCATCCGGTCGTACGGCCTGTAATACTCCTGTTGGTGGTTCTGGTAAGGCGTCTGCTGGTTTTGGTGATGGTATTCTTGGTGGTACCGCTGCTGTTGGGCGTGATGATGATGGTTCCGGTTGTACGGGTCTTGGTGGTGGTACGGAGGTACTTGGTGCCTGCCCACCGCGGCACCGGTCACGTCGTAACCCGCGTACTGTTGGGCGGCCACGGCAGCAGCCGCTGCGGCGGCAGCGGCCGCCGTTCTGGTCTGTTTGTTGTTGCGCCGGTTTTGGCCGCCGCCGCGCTGCGCTCGTCCACGCCTGTTCTGCTGCCGCGGCGGTTCGAACGACGACGACGACGACGACGATGACGACACCGCCGCTGCAGCGTGCTGTTCGTCGGATCTCTGCGACGTTCCGACGCCGGTTTGTTGCACAGCGCCAGACCGGCCGACCGACTGGCATTCGCCGATGGCCGCGTCTTTCGGCGGTTCGTAGTACTCGTGCTGCGAGAACCTGCCTATCTCAGTGGATCCGAAAGCTTGATGAAAGTTCGGTAACCGGCCGTTGGATTCCCTGCCCTCGCACGGCAAGTCGCCGACGAGTTTGCCGCCGTTGCCACCTGCGCCCGCCACACCATCACCACCACCACCGCCCCCGTCGCAAACTTCAGGCCGGTTACCGTGGTCGACGACTTCGTCGTTTATGATGGTCGAGAGCCAGTCTATGGACTCCTCCTGTGAAATCGGTATGGAAAAAAAAAAATAATGTTTTTCTAATTTTACAAACGCATTGCGAAACATGGGTACATAATACAAAGCATGATAACGAGACGGATGCTAGAGCGGGAAAAACTGACGAGGAAGAGATAGGCGGACGAGTATGAGGTATAATATAATATATCGTTATATATAGACGAAAAATATGATATTGAGTGGATTGGAAATGGATGTACAGATTATTCGCATTCGGTTTTGTCGGACTTACCTTGATGATCTTATCGTTTTCGGCCATGTTTTGGTGGCCGCCCAAGAAGTCTGCCATGGGGTCTGTCATGTCGGCCTGGGACACCGGATGGTTGTTAGTGGCGAACGATTCCGCTGAAGACGTCGACGCTCCTGTAAAAATTAAATGACGTACGCACATAAATTATACAGATAACGTCTTTTGCACGACACATAAATGGAAACAATATTGATATTATACAAGTACGAGTATAATATAGGCAACATCGTATGTCTGTAGGGCGAACACGATTGTGTGTGCGCGTTTGCGTGAGAAATAGATAAATATGTAATAGTAATATTATTTAAAACGAAATTAACCTGTCGACGTAGCCTGATGATAACCATGGTTCAGGAAGTTTCCTGTACTGTCGCCGATATGTGTGTTGCACGCGTTATGTGATAAACCGGCATGCTGAAATACAAATTTAAACGTATAAACATAAGACGAATAATTCAACGCGTTTCTCACATTTTATAGCGAACACTGCGCGATAACACAATACATATTATAATATATATTATTGTTATCGCTAAACATTCGGGCGTATTATAATAATATAAATTACAGCGCACAGGTGCGATATTAAAACGTATATGCATATCATATTATTATTATGCTCGACACGATACGTTATAAGATTATGACTGTGAGAAAAGGTTCAATGATACAAGATCGAGAATGACAGATCGAACTTAACTTACAATACCTTTGACGAATACTGCAAACATAGCGTATCGTCTGCATCTTTAATAAGGATAACACGATAGATTTGTATTTTGTAGTCATAGCTGTCAGCCGTTGACTATGTAAATCAGAGTGAATTGACTATCTATACAGATGATAGCAAATCTCTATGACTATGTTCTTTTTTGGTTTTTACGACATTTTAGTTTTTAAGCGATTTACGCACATTTATTAATACTTATACAGTCATAATTCGTTTAAAATTAAAACATCAAAAAAACCAACGATAGAACATAGTAATATCCTTTTGTTTGACAATATAAGATCTATTCACTCTAATATTTAAGCGTACGACACAAAAATTTGAATTGCTTAATATGTACCTATAAATGTTGGTACATTATAAACGTTAATAAGGCAGAGACAACTTCACGTGAGCGTGCGCGTATAGATCCTTTTGAGATATACGTGAACCTCAAAGTATCTAAATATTTAGTGCTTATGCTATTTTATTACAGCTGTATGGCGGTACCTACGTTTAACAATTGCTGATCGCCACTCACCATTTGCGCATGATCGGCGGCCCCCGATGACGGCGAACCGTACCACGAGGACTCGGTGGCAGTATAGTTGAAGTAACCGGCGTTGGGCTGGGCGCCGTACCCAATGCCGCCGTAGGGCGTGTAGTCCGGTTGCTGCTGGTATTGTTGTAACATGACTTCTTCCGGTCGGGCAGAAGACGACGTCGTCGATCCTTCGTTGACCTTCGGACGCTGGTAGTCGTGCAACTGGGGACACTGCTGCAGGCGACTGGTGGTGATAGTGGATGTAGTACGACTCGACGAAACGCGGATCGCCGGATAAACGGGAGACGGACCAGCGATTAACCGCCCCCGCGGTTCGTCGATGCCTGCAACTTGACCGTCACGGTGACCAAGAGGCGACGTGGACACGTGTTCCGCACTGTGATCTTGATGTTCCGATATCTCACCGTGATCTTGTCGCAGCTTTTCTTCACTGAAACCGTCAACTTCGTCTTGGCGCCGACGGCGCGCCGATTCTTCTTCTAACCGATCAACGACGACGTGTTGTAACTTCTGAAACACACGCAACGACCAGATGAGAAATGTATAAAAAAGGTAATTCACACCGCAGAATATTTTTTATGGTACCATAATGTTATTCAATAATATGTTAATACGATCTTAAAACGAACCCTCCCCTATAGCTTATATATACATGCAACATCGTTATAATAATACCAACTTATATTATTTATAATAAATACAATAACTATGTTGTAATAAATTATTTAAAGATATCTTCTCCTACTGCAGACAAAATGTTATACATTCTAGGTGAATTTTCGTGGTGCGAAAACTCGGTTCTTAGGTCACATTTTTTTTACTATAGTTGTTTTCGCCAAATATTCTCTCATAGAAAACGTTTTTATAGAATCCTTAATTCAAAACTATTTAGTTTAAAGTTGTATCATATAAATCGGCTACAGTAAGTAACGTCGTTAAGTATCGTTTTTAAACTTAAGGTAAGAATTAAGAGGACTGTCTGTCTTACATACATACCACATAGCAAATTTTTGTTCAGCAGAATCCATTTTATGTTGTTAGGTTTAAAATATATTACAGCAATATTTAGATAAAATGTGAAATGTATATTGAAAACAATTCATTTGGCACTATAATCGTACTAACCAACTACATAAAAAGAAAATATGGCGGCATTCGTGGCAGGAACTTTAGTAACGCACAATTTGCCAAATAATAACATAATATATCTTTAAACTTTGTTTTTTATTGTACATAAGCAATACGTTTAATACGATTCATTTAACATAATGTAGTGCAAATCTTTTTTGACAGATGACGTTCCGCGGTGTATATACTGTAATCCCATCGATCATATTTCGTTTCCCCTCTTTATATTTTTGCCTGAAGTAGATAATTTATAAATATCGTTTAAAATTAAAATATTTTATTACGACTATCTGTGCAGCCGATTTAAATCCAGAAAAATCATCGTGTGTTTAATAATTATATATATACATTTAAGAGACTTATATACTTTTAAAACTTTCAAACTATTACTTATTAATGAATCTTTCAAGATTACCGCTTCAATATACATTTTCCCTTATAATCTTTTTGATTTTTTTTTTCATACAAAAATATTACTTTACATTATACATTTATGAGATTCTCGCCTCGGTATTTCATTAAAATATTATAAGTACAGCTGTTCGTTTCATAAATTTTCACCCGACTCAATTAAGTAGTTGTCGAGGGATAATATTATACAATTAGACGTGTGATTAACCAGTGTTTTTACCTACCAGTCGGGTAGGCGACGTTTAAATCTACTTTGATCCTAATTTAATAATTTAAATCTCAGGTTACATCCAAAAAACTATTTTAAAAGTGACTAAATTAAACGTTTAATAAAAATATACATTTATAATTATAAAATTAATTTCATTTTTTTTTTTTTATACAGTTTTAAGGCTTTGTTATACAAACTGTAATTAATTATATTAATTATGTTTAAAGGTTATAGCATTCATACATATATATACAGCAATTTAAATTATAAGTAAAAATATATAAAAATATACATAAATGTACTATATAATATTTTAAAATTTATTAAAGTAATACTTTTATCTTTCTGAAATGAACTAATTCTAACAACTAATTATTATTAGTTATCATGGAGTATTCCGAAAATGATCTGATTATAATAATTATTCAAGTTATTATAACATTGACATTTTATAAAGCTAAAATATCAAGAGTGCTAAACAAAGAAAACACGTGATCAGAAAATTTTTTTAATTTTAATAGAAGTTGATTTTAATTATTTCTTAGCTGTTATTATTATTAATATAAAAATCGCAATTATATTTTATTTATTAGTATATAATAAGAGATAAAGTTAGAAAAACTACTTATTTATTTGTACAAAAAATAATAGAACATTATTATATTCATTAAGTCTTAAATTCCGAAACTTATGTTCTTATAATATAACGTATAAACTATAACTAAATAGTTATGTACAGGACGTATCAGAAAAAAATCAAAGATTTCTCAATTAGGGTTTATCAAAAAAAAAAATTATTCAAACAAGTAATCTCTTTTATTTTATTTTATTTACTTGTAAAGTATACAATTTATTTCTCGAAAGATATAGTCTATCAAAAAAAAGGTAACTGACTGAAATTGGTTAAAATATTTCATCATATTTTATTCAATATAATATATATATATATTAAAAATTAATTAAAAAATAAAAATTAATATTATATTATACATGTTTATTAATAAAAGAGAAAATAGATAACCTGTAAGTTAATCTGGTTGATTGCCTATATAATTTACTAAATAACTATATAATATTATATATATTATATTTTCAGTGAGATGGATTTTTGGGTAAAATGTCGAGACTTTAACGGATCTGGTGTGCGTGTGAAAAGTCCCGCCACTTGTAAAAATCAATCCGACCAACCCACAGAGAGAGAACATAAGTGTGCATACAAAAGGGAGAGAGAGAGAGAAAAGTGAGAGAAAAAGGGAAAGGGGAGGAAGAAAAAGGAAAATCCACTAAACCGCAATATAATATATACGGATATATCCTGTACGATGAGAGTGTGATATATGTTTAGAAGAAAAAATAAATTCATTATTTTAAGTGATAGGAAAATAAAAAAAAATAATCGGGTTTCAAAAATTCAAGAGCAAATCTTTCGAACTACACTGTTACGATTTGATAGTATACATAAGGAGGGAAGCATATGATTTTGTAATCACCTGATTATATTACATCATTTCTTGTGACAGTATACCACAAATATATTTACCGGAGAATACCTAAACGAATTTATAAGAATAAACATATTTATATTGACGATTCTTAGCTATAGAGTATTAAGTAGGTATAGTATATGAGTAACTACAGTTTATAAATACACAGTAATAAGGCATTTGCACGGTAGGAGAATAATCGAGATAAAAGTCACACCCCTGCAAATTATTATTTTATCCAATATTATTATTATAATATGTAATTATATCGTCTATAGCCATTATAATATTAAAACTAAGTAATATTCACATAAATCAACCCAAGTTTATGATGACATTAAAAATTCCTTGAATTACAAAGTGTATTGTGTATATATTTTTTATTGATAAATGTATTAGGTTTTTAGCGAAGTGGTTAATGTAGTCGTATCTATCTATTGCAACTAAATACTAAAATGTTATTTTTTTTAATTTTTTCTTTTTTGTCAACGCTTTTTGGAGCGATAAAAAGCTTTAATCTTCAATTTTGAGAATAATTTTTTACAAAAAAAATATATCTTGTTGTTACTGTAGTGCTAAAAATAAAACAATTCCAGTATTTTTTAAAATATATTTATTTATGCAAAACATTTTTTGAAAAATCAAATTTATTATTTGATGATTTATTAATGAATAATAATATTAAAAAATAAAATAAAAATACTTTATGATTTATATTAATAATGTGAATTTAAACAAAATTTTAGTTATATTCTACTATTTTATAAAGAAAATATTCAGTTACTGATTTATTTTTATGACGAATAATTATAATACAGCACTACACCATACGCCAAGATGAGAAAAGTAAAACTTTCACCAGATTTCTGTATATCAAATTGGATTATTTTCAAAACTTATATATTAGGGATCACAAAAAATACCGTCACAGAATACTTACAATTAAATATATTATTTTAAAATATACATTATACACAATTTAATGTTTGTATAAACATAATTTATAAGTATTCGTACCTTAATAAGTTTATTTTTCTATTAATCTTGATTATAAAATATTATTCAAATATGTTATTCATTTATACTTATTACTTATTAAAGTTTATGTTGATGAATCGGTAACATGGACAAACTCAAAATTTGGCTTTACTTTGATTTCATCAATTTTTTTTATGTTATTTATTATACTAAATAAACACACAAACCAGAAATGGATAACGAAGTTTTAAATCATTTTTTTTATTATTGCTGATTTTTTCCTCATTTGTCTAGACCATTTAAATCGAAATTAAATTTACGCATTAACCGAATCGACCAGGCAAATAGCTTCGTTAACAATTATTCCAAAATATTCGAAAAATATCGCATTAAGTGTCTAATGGTTCTAAGCATTTTAATGGAATTTCAGAATATTATGCTCTAAAAAATATAAACAAAATATGATCGTAAAATTATCTTTTTCACTTGACCAAAATATGATTAGGTGTATCAAAAACGATCTGAATACAATTTGCGACGACGGCGACCGGCATAAGCTACGAAAGAAAATTTGCAGACAGCTGTAAAAATAAATAATACACACTGCCAATATATTATTATAAATTTAAACATAATAACACGGGTGCGCTTTGGCCTCGCGTAAACATATTTCCGGTGTACAAACGATATCATATTATACATTCGTATAACAACAACATTCGTACCACACAACCGATAGGTGTTCAGGAAAAATGTACATTTATTTAGCCGGCCAGTTAAAACTGAATAAAAATACGCAGACGCCGAGTAACAATAAACGACACTGTTAATAGATGCTACGATGACAGGTAAACAGAACGAAAAAAAATCTGATTTCTGGGCGCATACTGTATAGATGTATTCATTTTGCTCCAATAGTTTTAGCCACAGTGAAATATGAACGCGAAGAATAAAACCGAGTCCACGTTTATAAAATATTTTGCTTACTTTTACTAGCATGCGTTATTTTCTGCGTACAATATCAAAATGATATGAATCTAAACAGTCAACACAATACTCATACAAGTTTTTGAATGTATGTATCTTACAATTGCAAGTCGTCCGACATCAGATTGAACACAGCAAATTGCTATTAATAATATGTTTTTTTTTTTTAATATTGCATGAGAGCAAGTAAAGTTTGGCTTTTAAAAAATTGCAAATGCGTAAGCTCCGCTTAAAGATAATGATTTATGCCCGAGTACATTGTAACGTTTGGTGGAGGTACATATAATACTACAATATATTATAATATATTA